TCTTGGGCAGGGGTTACTGCTGCTTTGGTGAGCGCAACTATTCCGATCAGCAGGGTCCAGGGACTATTGTGGGTTCTTGGGCAGGGGGAGAAAGAAAACAAACCAAAACCGCGGGAAGTTTTGTCTTTCAGATGGGAAACACTCTAGCATCAACGGGCTCACCCTTGAAATGCATCCTAAGCCATTAAGACCAATTTGACCTGCAAACCCTGAAAAAGAGGCGGCTCATTTTTTTCTGCCTATGGCCTGTCCCCAATATTCTCTCTCTGATGGGGAAAAATGGCCACCTGAGGGAAGTACAAATTACAATACTATCCTGCAGCTTGACCTTTTCTGTAAGAGGGAAGGTAAATGGAGTGAAATACCTTATGTCCAAACTTTCCTTTCATTGAAGGAGAATACACAACTATGCAAAGCTTGCAATTTACATCCCATAGAAGGACCTCTCAGCTTACCCCCATATCCTAGCCTCCGTATAGCTCCCTTTCCTATTAATTATAATCTTCCTCTAATCTCCCCTGGCTCAAAGGAAATAAGCAAAGAAATCTCCAAAGAACCACGAAACCTCTGCCCAGGCTATCCGTTATGTGCCCTTCAAGCTGTAGGGGGAGGGGAATTTGGCCCAACCCAGGTACATGTCCCTTTCTCCCTCTCTGATTTAAAGCAGAGCAAGGCAGACCTGGGGAAGTTTTCAGATGATTGTGATTCATACATAGATGTCCTACAGGGTCTAGGGCAAACCTTCAGCCTCGCTTGGAGAGATGTCATGCTACTGTTAGATCAAACCCTGGCCTTTAATGAAAGGAATGCAGCTTTAGCTGCAGCCCGAGAGTTTGGAAATACTTGGTATCTTAGTCAAGTAAATGATAGAATGACAGCCGAAGAAAGGGACAAATTCCCCACCGGTCAGCAAGCCATCCCCAGTATGGATCCCCACTGGGGCCTTGACTCCGATCATGGGGACTGCAGTCATAAACATCTGTTGACCTATGTTCTAGAAGGACTAAGGAGAATTAGGAAAAAGCCTATGAATTATTCAATGATGTCCACCATAACTCAGGGAAAGGAAGAAAATCCTTGTGCCCTCCTTGAGCAGCTACGGGAGGCCTTAAGAAAATATACTCCCTGTCTCCCGAATCACTCAAGGGTCAATTGATTCTAAAAGATAAGTTTATTACCCAATCAGCCAAAGATATCAGGAGAAAGCTCCAAAAGCAAGCCCTGGGCCCTGAACAAAATCTGGAGGCATTATTAAACCTGTCAACCTCGGTGTTCTATAATAGGGACCAAGAGGAACTGGTCCAAAATGAAAAGCGAGATCAGAGAAAGGCCACAGCCTTAGTCATGTCCCTCAGACAAAAAATTCTTGGTGGTTCAGAAAGAACAGAAAATGGAGCAGGCCAATCACCTGGTAGGGCTTGTTATCAGTGTGGTTTACTAGGACACTTTAAAAAAGATTGTCCAATGAGAAACAAGCCACCCCCTCATCCATGTCCACTATGCCAAGGCAATCGCTGGAAGGTGCCACTGCTCCAGAGGACAAAGGTTCTCTGGTTCAGAAGCCCCCAAACAGATGATCCAAAAACAGGACTGAGGGTGCCTGGGGCAAGCGCCAGCTCATGTCATTACCCTCACTGAGCCACGGGTATGCTTAACCATTGAGGGCCAGGAAATTGACTTCCTCCTGGATACTGGTGCAGCCTTCTGAGTGTTAATCTCTTGTCCCGAACGACTGTCCTCAAGGTTTGTTACCATCCGAGGAATCCTGGGACAGCCTGTAACCAGGTATTTCTCCCACCTCCTCAGTTGTAATTGGGAGACTTTACTCTTTTCACATGCCTTTCTTGTGATGCCTGAAAGTCCCACACCCTTATTAGGGAGAGACATATTAGCCAAAGCTGAAGCTATTATCTACATGAATATGGGGAACAAGTCACCCATTCATTGTCCCCCTACTTGCAGAAGGAATCAACTCTGAAGTCTGGGCATTGGAAGGACAATTCGGTAGGGCAAAAAATGCCCACCCAGTCCAAATCGGGCTAAAAGACCCCACCACTTTTCCTTATCAAAGGCAATATCCCTTAAGACCTGAAGTTCATAAAGGCTTACAGGATATTGTTAAACATTTAAAAGCTCAAGGTTTAGTAAGAAAATGCAGCAGTCCCTGCAACATCCCAATTCTAGGAGTACAAAAACCAAATGGTCAGTGGAGTCTACAGCAAGATCTTAGATTCATCAATGAGACAGTAATTCCTCTATATCCAGTTGTACCCATCCCCTATACCCTGCTCTCTCAAATACCACAGGAAGCAGAATGGTTCACTGTTCTGGACCTCAAGTATGCCTTCTTCTGTATTTCCCTGCACTCTGACTCCCAGTTTCTCTTTGCCTTTGAGGATCCCACAGACCACACATCCCAACTTATGTGGACGGTCTTGCCCCAGGGATTTAGGGATAGCTCTTACCTGTTTGGTCAGGCACTGACCCAAGATCTAGGCCACTTCCCAAGTCCAGGCACTCTGGTCCTTCAGTATGTGGATGATTTACTTTTGGCTACCGGTTTGGAAGCCTCATGCCAGCAGGCTACTCTAGATCTTTTGAACTTTCTAGCTAATCAAGGGTACAAGGCATCCAGGTCGAAGGCCCAACTTTGCTTACAGCAGGTTAAATATCTAGACCTAATCTTAGCCAGAGGGACCAGGGCCCTCAGCGAGGAACGAATACAGCCTGTACTGGCTTGTCCTCACCCTAAGACATTAAAACAGTTGTGGGAGTTCCTTAGAATCACCGGCTTTTGCCAACTATGGATCCCCAGATACAGTGAGATAGCCAGGTCCCTCTATACTCTAATCAAGGAAACCCAGGGGCAAATACTCATCTAGTAGAGTGGGAACCAGAGGCAGAAACAGCCTTCAAAATCTTAAAGCAGGCCCTAGTACAAGCTCCAGCTTTAAGCCTTCCCACAGGACAAAACTTCTCTTTATAAGTCGGAGAGAGAGCAAGGATAGCTCTTGGAGTCCTTACTCAGACTCGTGGGACAACCCCACAACCAGTGGCATACCTAAGTAAGGAAATTGAGGTAGTAGCAAAAGGCTGGCCTCACTGTTTATGGGTAGTTGCAGCGGTGGCCGTCTTAGTGTCATAGGCTATCAAAACAATACAAGGAAAGCATCTCTCTGTCTGGACTACTCATGATGTAAATGGCATGCTAGGTACCAAAGGAAGTTTATGGTTATCAGACAACCGCCTACTTAGATGCCAGGCGCTACTCCTTGAGAGACTGGTGCTTCAAATGTGTACATATGTGGCCCTCAACCCTGCCACTTTTCTCCCAGAGGATGGGGAACCAATCGAGCATGACTGCCACCAAATTATAGTCCAGACTTATGCCGCCTGAGATCATCTCTTAGAAGTCCCCTTAGCTAATCCTGACCCTAACTTATATACCGATGGAAGTTCATTTGTGGAGAATGGGATACGAAGGGCAGGTTATGCCATAGTTAGTGATATAACTGTACTTGAAAGTAAGCCTCTTCCCCCAGGGACCAGTGCCTGGTTAGCAGAACTAGTGGCACTTACCTGAGCCTTAGAACTGGGAAAGGGAAAAAGAATAAATGTGTATACAAATAGCAAGTATGCTTATCTAATCCTACATGCCCGTGCTGCAATATGGAAATAAAGGGAGTTCCTAACCTCTGGGGGAACCCCCATTAACTACTACAAGGAAATTATAGAGTTATTGCACGCAGTGCAAAAACCCAAGGAGGTGGCAGTCTTACACTGCCAAAGCCATGAAAATGGGAAAGAGAGGGGAGAACAGCAGCATGAGCAACTGGCAGAGGCAGCAGACAGGAATGAGATGGAAAGTCAGAGAAAGAGAGAGAGAGAGGAAGAAACAGAGAAATCAAAAGGGGGAGTCAGAAAGAGAGAAAGAGAGACAAAGAGGGAGTCAGTAAAAAAGAGGAGGAGAGAGATAAAGAGGGAGTCGGAAAGAGAGAAATGAAGAAGTCAAAGAGAAAGAGAGATGGAAGTAGTAAAGAAAAAACAGTGTACCCTATTCCTTTAAAAGCCAGGGTAAAGTTAAAACCTATAATTGATAATTGAAGGCCTTCTCTGTAACCTTAAGACACTCCAATATCACCTTGTTTTCAGTGTAAACAAGGGCGTAACCTGAAAGCACTGAGGCCACTGACAACCCGTAGCCTTCCTATCAAAAATCCTTAACCCAGCAGGTTTCCTAATGGGATATAAATCTGAACGTCCAACCAGACAAAGGAGGAACTCCCTTCAGGACAGGACTATAGATGGTTCCTCCCAGGGGATTAAGGAAAAAGACACAATAGGTATTTAGTAAGTGATAAGGACACTCTTGTAGAAGCAGAATTAGGAAAATTGCCTAATAATTGGTTTGCTCAAATGAGCGAGCTGTTTGCACTCAGTCAAACTTTAAAGTACTTACAGAATCAGGAAAAAGCCATATATACCAATTTTAAGTTAATATGAACTGAACGAGCTCTTATTAATAGCAAAGAATAATTAAAATCCCAAACTTACAAGGTTTTCAACAAAAGTAAAGTTTGCTAAAAGTTAACAGTGTAACATGTGTTATCCTACTACCACACACTTTCTTTCTCAGACAGTTTGCAAGAGATAAAGAAATCTATCCTTACTCTACAATCCCAAATAGACTCTTTGGCAGCAGTGACTCTCCAAAACCACGAAGGCCTCGACCTCCTCACTGCTGAGAAAGGAGGACTCTGAACCTTCTTAGGGGAAGAGTGTTGTTTTTACACTAACCAGTGAGGGATAGTATGAGATGCCGCCCGGCATTTACAGGAAAAGGCTTCTGGAATCAGGCAGCGCCTTTCAAATTCTTATACCCACCTCTGGAGTTGGGCAACATGGCTTCTCCCCTTTCTAGGTCCCGTGGCAGCCATCTTGCTGTTGCTTGCCTTTGGACCCTGTATTTTTAACCTCCTTGTTAAATTTGTTTCCTCTAGAATCGAGGCCATCAAGCTACAGATGGTCTTATAAATGGAACCCCAAATGAGTTCAACTAACAACTTCTACCGAGGACCCCTGGACCGACCCGCTGGTATTTTCACTGGCCTGGAGAGCTCCCAACTGGAGGACACTACAACTGCAGGGACCTTTCATCACCCCTGTCCAGCAGGAAATAGCTAGGGCGGTCATCTGCCAAATTCCCAACAGTAGTTGGGGTTTTAGTCCTGTTTAGAGGGGGGATTGAGAGGTGACAACATGCTAGCAGCCCTCGCTCACTCTCAGTGCCTCCTCGGCCTCGGTGTCTGTTCTGGCCACACTTGAGGCGTCCTTCAGCCCACCACTATGCTGTGGGGGCCCCTCTCTGGGGCTGGCTGAGGCCGGAGCTGGCTCCCTCTACTGGCAGGGAGGTGTGGAGGGAGAGGCACGGGTGGGAGCTGGGGCTGCACGTGCACTCACGGGCCAGCGTGGGTTCTAGGTGGGCACGGGCTTGGTGGGCCCTGCACCCTTTGTGGCCAGCTGGTGCCTGCTGGGCTTGATCAGGGGACAAGCTCCCTCTGGGCTACCAGAGTGCCCAGCCTAGGTGATGCAAAGTCCCATGGCAAGTGCCATTGAGAGGTAAAGCTGGCTGGGCTTCTGGGTCGGGTGAGGACTTGGAGAACTTTTGCGTCTAGCTAAAGGATTGTAAACGCATCAATCAGCACTCTGTGTCTAGCTAAAGGATTGTAAATTCACCAATCAGCACTCTGTGTCTAGCTAAAGGTTTGTAAATGTACCAATCAGCTCTCTGTGTCTAGCTAATCTGGTAGGGACTTGGAGAACTTTTGCGTCTAACTGAAGGATTGTAAATGCACCAATCAGCACCCTATCAAAACGGACCAATCAGCTCTCTGTAAAATGGGCCAATCAGCTCTCTGTAAAATGGACCAATCAGCAGGATGTGGGCGGGGCTAGATAAGGGAATAAAAGCAGGCTGCCTGACCTAGCAGTGGCAAGCTGCTTGGGTCCCTTTCCAGCTGGTGGAAGCTGTGTTCTTTTTCTCTTTGCAATAAATCTTGATGCTGCTTACTCTTTGGGTCTGCTTTTATGAACTGTAACACTCACTGTGAAGGTGTGCAGCTTCACTCCTGAAGCCAGCAAGACCACGAACCCACGTAGGGGGGGTGGGCAAACAACTCTGGACAGAAGGAACGAACAACTCCACATGCGCTGCCTTTACCAGCTGTAACACTCACCATGAGGGTCCGTGGCTTCATTCTTGAAGTCAGCAAGACCAAGAACCCACCAATTCCAGACGCACCACCAGGACCCTCCTCCAACTTTGAGGATTACAGTTTGACATGATATTTGGGTGGGGTCACAGAGCCAAACTATATCACTCCTTAAACGTCAAATGCCTCCTCCTCTGTTCATAAATATTCTAGCCTCCTTTCTTCCCAGAGGCCTAGCAAGATTGCAGTCCACAGGCCCCCTTTGAAGTTAGATGTGACAATGTTACTTATTTTGCCGATGATATGTAGACGAAAGGTTACATATCACTTCCAGAGACAGGCTTTAAGAGCCAGAGTGCCACTTTTCTTTTTTTACAATCTTGGCAAAAGAGAGCAAAGAAAGCCTCCTAGCTCCCTAAATGAGGTTAGAGCAAGCAGCATCCTCTAGCTGATCTACAATGGACACTTAGCATGAGAGAGAAATAAACCTTTGCTGTGTTAAACTGCTGAGACACAGGAAATAAGGAGGTTGTTATTATAACATGCCAGCCTATACTTTACTGCCTAAATTGGTGAGAAAATAGAAGCAATCAGAAGATAACTTCTGCAACCTCCCATGACCACATCTGTGACTGATTAGTCACCATATACTCTGTCCTTCTCTAATATTTGAATGAATTCTCCATAGTCCTATCTAAAGTCCGTCTTTTATCTTGTATACCAGATGGGAACTACTTTTCGTTACTCAAGGCTGACATTCAAACATTTCTCTCCTTTGTCTTTTATATAATCAATGTTTCCCTTTCTACTAGATCCCCTTCATCAGTAAATAAACATACATAATATCTCCTGTTTTTAAAGAATCTCTCCACTAGTTAACAGCACCTCAATCCCATCTCCAAAGTGTTGTAATACTTGCTCCCATTCTCTTCAGAATTATCTCACTAGGTTCTGCTTGTCCCACTACACTGAAAACTGCTTTTGTCTGGGTAACCAATAATATGGAATTTATTAAGTCTGGAAGTCAAATCTTGGTCCTGATCTGACATAACATTGACTTGGTTGACTGTATTCCTTCCTTCTTGAAATATTTTTGTACATGGCTTCCAAGACACAACTATCCTACCTACTAATCCTCTTCCTACCTCACTGGCTGCTCCAGCTTGATCTCCCAAAGTCTAAATGTTGGGGTTCAGGCCTTGGGTGTCTTTTCTCCTTCATTCACACCCTCTTGCCAGGTTACCTCATCCAGTTTCATGGTTTTACATTGTCAACTGAAGAATAACGAGGTTCATAAATTTAGAAAGGAGAGCTTTATTTTTCACAAAGAAAAGTAAAACTGAGTGCCCAGTATGTGCTAAGCAAGGTGTCTGCCACTGATGGAGCAATGCCCAAGCAGCGGACACCAAGGCCAGGAAGAGTAAGGCTGGACAGAAGGGTCTGAGAAAATCGTGAGAAAATGGAGGAGGGAGAGGAGGAATAAGAACAGGAGGAGGAGGAAGAGGAGGGGGAGAAAGGATGAGGGGCAGGAGGAAGAGGGAGAGGAGAAAGCGGAAGTGGGGGAGGAAGAAGAGGGATGAGGAGGAGGGAGTTGGAAGGGGAAGAGGAAGGGGGCAGAAGTCAGAAGAAGAGGGGGAGGAGAAAGAGGAAGAAGAGTAAGAGGAGGTGGAAGACAGACAAGGGGAGGAGGAGGAGGGCGGGGAGGAGCTTCGCTGCGGCCTGCTCCGCCCAGCCAGGTTCCGTGGCCACATGGCTTCGGTCTCCTCTGCGACCTTCTTGGGCCACGGGGCTCGGTCCCTACTGCAGTTCCTGCGGCTGGTGGGGCAGCTCAAGGTGAGCGGGCGCCAGGCCCGGAGGCCGCGGCCGAGCGGGCGGGACTGTGGGGCGGCGGAGCTTCCGGCTCCCCGCTGGGCCCACGGCCTTTCCCCTTCCTGCGCTGGGTCCGCCGCGCGGAATTCGGGAAAGGCCCCAGTCCAGGGGATGTGGCTGCGCCTCGCGGACAGTGGACAGAGGAATAAGCCAGAGGGGCAGCCGGGCCAGCTGGGACGGCGCGCAGTCTGAGCCTAGAGCTCGGGGCCGCGGGGGCCGCGAGCTCCGCCCTGCAGCCGTGCCAGTTCCCAGAGAGCAGCCGGCCTCGCCCTTCCTGCAGTGAGCTTTTCCGGGGCTCAAGACCCCAGAACCACGTGCGTGTGTGTGTGTGTGTGTGTGTGTGTGTGTAGGGTGGGGCTGCTTCTGAGCACGGGTGGAAAGAATAGAATCTGTCGGCTCTGCAGATTTTAAGTGGAGCGCTTTACCTCTGTCTCACAGTTACTTCCAGAAACAAGACTTTTCTCAAGGCCACCCCCCAAACAGGATTTAATGTCATACACATGAGTTTCATCATGTGCGTCTTCCCCGTCTCTCTCCCAAGTTCAAAGTAAATTATCTGTTTCATGCCACTCTGACTACTAGTTATAACATTCCTTAGCGATGTAGAATTCTGAGGAAGAAATGCAGTTTCACAAGATGAGGTTATGATGTGAATAAAAGGAAGAGTCCCGGCACGTGGTAGCATCAAGCAATTAGAAGTGCCCTTATCCCTTGTGCCTCAGAATTTGGAAGCCTATCACTCGGTCACGTTAAGAGCCTTCAATACAGTGTTTTCTGCTTGTGTAGGATTATTTGAAGGCAAAAAGCCGCAATTCTTGTAGTTAGGAAAAATGCAGTTTTTTTTTTTTTGTTTTTTGTTTTTTTTTTTTTTTAAACTTGCATATGTTCCGTCATTATACATCAGTAACAGAGTAATCTGACGAATGGACTTTGTGACTTATCTCTCTCTGTCTTCTCCCCCTTTCATTCTCTGAGCTCTCAAGTTCATTTGATTCCAGATGTCTATCATTTTAGCTAGTTTAGCAAAACATTTTGTAATAGGTTCTGAAACTATGACCCGGTTTCTGTGTGTTATATCCTGGACATCTCTTGAAGAGCATAGCAGATAGTTAGTATTTGGTTTTTAAAACTTTTTTCTTCTTCATATTTATCAGAGAGTCCCACGGACTGGCTGGGTATACAGAAATGTCCAGAGGCCGGAGAGCGTGTCAGATCACATGTACCGGATGGCAGTTATGGCTATGGTGATCAAAGATGACCGTCTTAACAAAGACCGGTAAGCTGAGCTGGACTTTGATGCTCGTGAGGGATTCTGGTCTATGGGTGTGCACCCGTTTTTACCACTGAGACCCGTGTCAAATCCTTGTAGGTTAGTTTATAGGTCAAGAAAAATTATTTGAAGCAAACCATGCATATTTAGGATGTGGGTTGTGTTGCCTCCGTTGTTGTAAACTGTAATCTGGGTTTTATGTTGGCAATTGATAGAGCCTGCCTAGGGTATCAGAGGAGACTTAAGTGTGATATTGGGGCCTTGAAGGTGAGTGTGTTATGTCTAAAATTCTAGCATTGTATTAGTACACTGTGTGCTCTTTTCTAGTGCCTTTTATGGATAGTAGCATACATTGGTGAGGCTCTTTTTGGAGTTGTATGTGCAAGACAGCTGAGAAAGAGGTATCCTCTCCCCCTTCATTCAATTGACAAGTGTTAAAATGCTTTTTGAGCACAGAACAAAAGTAAGTTTACTAGCATATAAGAGAGTAAATAAATCCCAAGTGACTTACACAGGCCCAAAATAACTTCTATAAGAAGTGAAATATAAGTTATAGTCGAAAATGTTAAGTATTGTAAGAGTAGGGGAGATCACCTGTTCTTGGTTGATCTTTATGGAGGAGGTGCAATCTGAGTTGAGCTCTAGAGGGTTAACATAGGCAGAGAGGTAGGAGAAGGCACTGCACGCAAAGAGAAGGGCAGATAAACCAAAGCCCTGAGTGTAGGAAAGTAAAGGAGTATTTTGCTAATGAGAAATAAATCAACTTGACTGCAGCAAAGGGTTCACTGGGGAAGCCTGAGTAGTCCTCTGTTACTCAGCAGATGGTATGGAGCTGAGGAGGTTTTTGGCAAATAGTACAAAGTGAAAGTGAAGTCCAATAGAGATGCAATTTGGAGTAGTCTGGGATTTGAACTGGACCAGAAAGAGAGTAGACGCAGGGAAATCTCATAGGACACTGTTGGGCCTTGTATTGCCTCGGTAGTATGGGAGGCTAAAACATACTGGCCCGATCGGGCATTTATCTCATTACTTGACTTCATGTTTTGATGATGATTATCACAACTACTATTCCTTAACCACAAATAATCATAACCACTTATTGAATGATTCACATGTGTCAGGAACATGAAAGTTGTTAAATGTAATTTTTTTTTTTTGAGACAGAGTCTCACTGTTGCCCAGGCTGGAGTACAGTGGTGCAATGTCAGCCCACTGCACCCTCCGCCTCCCAGATTCAAACGATTCTCCTGCCTCAGCCTCCTGAGTAGCTGGGATTACAGGTGTGTGCTACCACACCTGGCTAATTTTTTGTATTTTTAGTACAGATGGGGTTTCACCATATTGC